TGTAAAATATATATAATACAATGTGTAAAATATATAATACAATGTGTAAAAATATATAATGTGTGTAAAATATATAATACAATGTGTAAAATATATAATGCACTGTGTAAAATATATAATACACTGTGTAAAATATATAATACAATGTGTAAAATATATAATACACTGTGTAAAATATATAATACAATGTGTAAAAATATATAATACACTGTGTATGTGTAAAATATATAATACACTGTGTAAAATATATAATACAATGTGTAAAATATATCACTGTGTAAAATGTGACCACTATCAGTGAAAAAGTGAACTAGTGTGTCAACTGTGACAGTGAATCACTCTCAGTGCAAAAGAAAACATCAAACAGCAAGTGTCAATATTTGTGTGCACTTCTATTTTGTAAGGAATGAATACCCTTACCAAAATAAAATACTAATCACGCCTTAATACCACCAGGGTATGATATAATTCCAAAGATCGCCCTCCTGAGAAAAAGGATCTTTGAGATGTCATCACAGCCTTATGGGTATAACTCCTAGATGTCATCTGGGTTAGTTAAGCCTGAATACTCCACACTCCTCCTGATACCAAGCTCTACCGATGTGTACACGCCATCACTGCGGTCACATGATTGGGAAAGGTCCCGATCGAAAGAGGAGATCGGAACCTTTCCGTGAGTACCAAACGTGTGTACTGGGAGCGTGCAGGGTGCATGCTCTTAGCACATATGTTGTCTTTTAATAGAACGCAAATGTGCGGCAGCTCGGCGTCTAGGCCCAGATGCCGGGAGGCCGTACATTTGCGTTTGGCCGGCGCCAAGAGGTTAAAATGCCCCGTATGCATGGAGCCTGAACAGGGGCGGAGTGACAACTCATGGGGCTCCCGGGCAATAGGGGATCATGGGGCCCCTGTGTCCTTGCCCACACTCAAAGCACACCCAAAAAAAGCCTATAAAAGGTACCAGGGGCATTTCATGGGGCCCCCTACTGACCCTGGGCCCCAGGGCAGTGCCCGAATGCTCGAATGGTCAGTCCGCCCCTGCGCCTGAATGCCATTCAAAGCCCCTGTCGCTAAATAAAATGTTAGCATACAGTCCTGTTCACACATTTTTTTTGCTTTGCTTCCAAAATGATACCCCATCCTGGTCCTTCTTTGATCTGGCATAGAGTTTCTGAGCTGGCCTCGGCCTTGGCGGATACTCCGGTAAATTTGTCATTGCAAAATTGTTTATTGGGATCTCCCATTTTGGGGATCCCAACCAACATAATGAGGCTAATTCATACTATCTGTGTCTCTACCCTATGGGCCATTGCTCTTCATTGGAAGACACCAGCAGTACCTTTGTCCTTTGTTTTGCGGAGACTTAATATGGTTCTGCTCATGGAACGTATTCAATATACAGATGGGAAGCAATTACTCAACAGAAAATTTGATGGTTGGAAGACATTTCGGCATTTATTGTTAGAATGATGGGTTATCATAGATTTATTGGCATTGTATCCTTGTTGGTTGGGTAGTTGCTCAGTATATCTTACTGCCTACCTCATTCATGTACTCAAACTTTCTTTTTCTGTGACTGTTTTATAAGACAGTTTTTTTACTTGTGTACCTTTTTCTTGATGTATGTTATGCTTCATGAAATGGTGCTGTTTTTGTTGTCTATCTTCTAATAAAAACATTTGTAAACTAAAAAAAAAAAAAAATTATACCCCATGTCGCTTTCTTGGTGTTTCAAAGCATCTCTGAAGCCTCCATAGAAGTCTATGACAAAGCTCGCTTGCAGCCCCTGCAGCTTTTTAGAGGCTTTTATTCAGCTTTAACTTTGCTTTGTTATGGTGGCATTGGAGGTATGAGATATCCCAAGAAGCACTGGAAAACCAAAAAGTGAACCTTTCCTTCCAGATTTAAAGCTAATTGAGCCACCGATGGCCTTTTAATTTCCAAATATGTGTACTATTGAGGAAAATAATATATTGGAAATAATTTATATATATTATATACAGTAAAAGGCTATTCTATCTGCGTATTCTTTCTCCCTTTTCAATGGATAACAGATTATACTATCAGAAGTAACGGAACATATATTTATAGTTCATACACTATATAGTTAAAGGTTTGTGGACACCTGACCATAATAATACCACCTAGATGAACTTCATAGGCTGCTATAACCCCTAACCACCCCCCACGCCCCCCCCCCCCTCGCTTTATGGCTATACCAGTCTCCATTCTTCTGGGTAGGCTTTCCATGAGATTTTGGAGCGTTTCTTATATTGTACTCTCAGAAAGACATCATCAGCAGTCACTTCCGGTCCATGTGTATATATTCTGGGAGTGTGTTGTGTAGACATCACATCTGGTGTGCAGCGTGGAGCAGCAGAAGGGTGAGCAGGGTCCTGACTGGACTAGGGATCCGAAGCAACTAGCAGATGGCATACATGGTGTGTAATATTGGAACACTATAGCAGAAGGTGAGCGGGAACCGGAGAAAGAGGACTGAGCGGCAGAGAATCAGCATTGCTGGGGAATCGAAGCAGCTCTGCTGATCCCCGCTCAGTAGTATCCCCCAGCTCTGCTGATCCTCCTCTCTCTCTCCGGTCCCCACTCACCTCCTGCTATATTGCTCCAATGCTGCGTATCACATGTGACCTTGCTAGTTTCTCCTGCTCGGGTCCCCCAGCTCTGCTGATCCTCTGCCCCTCAGTCCTCCTTCTCCAGTCCCCAGTCACCTTCCACTCTAGTGTTTCCATGTTGTACACCACGTGTGCCATCTGCTAGTTGCCCCGCTCCAGTCCAGACCCCGCTCACCTTCCTGCTGCTCCACACTACACATCACATGTGACCTTGCTAGTTTTTCCCGCTCTGGTCCCCCAGCTCTGCTGATCCTCTGCCACTTAGTCCTGTTTCTCCAATCCCCAATCACCTTTCACTCTAGCGTTTTCATGTTGTACACCACGTGTGCCATCTGCTAGTTGCTCCTCTCCAGTCCAGACCCTGCTCACCTTCCTGCTGCTCCACACTACACACCACATGTGACCTTGCTAGTTTCTCCCGCTCCGGTCCCCCAGCTCTGCTGATCCTCTGCCACTTAGTCCTGTTTCTCCAAACCCCAGTCACCTTCCACTGTAGCGTTTTCCTGTTGTACACCATGTGTGCCATCTGCTAGTTGCTCTGCTCCAGTCCAGACCCCACTCACCTTCCTGCTGCTCCACACTACACACCACATGTGACCTTGCTAGTTGCTCCGCTACGGTCCCCCAGCTCTGCAGATCCTCTGCCACTTAGTCCTGTTTCTCCAATCCCCAGTCACCTTCCACTCTAGCATTTTCATGTTGTACACCATGTGTGCCATCTGCTAGTTGCTCTGCTCCAGTCCAAACCCTGTTCACCTTCCTGCTGCTCCACACTACACACCACATGTGACCTTGCTAGTTTCCCCGCTCCGGTCCCCCAGCTCTGCTGATCCTCTGCCACTCAGTCCTCTTTCTCCAGTCCCCGGTCACCTTCCACTCTAGCATCTCGATGTTGTACACCACGTATGCCATCTGCTAGTTGCTCTGCTCCAGTCCAGACCCCACTCACCTTCCTGCTGCTCCACACTACACACCACATGTGACTTCTGCACCAGACACTTACAGAATTTAGACATATGAACCATAAGTTACTGCTGATGATGTTGTACTAGTTCACTTGTTGGTTTGCCAGTGCATCCTGGGATATCTCATACCTGCAATACCTCCAAAGCAAAACAATGCTAACGCTGATCAAAAGCCCCTCAAAAGGTTCAGGAGCTTTTTCATAGACTTCTATGGAGACTTTGGAGATTTTTTCAAGCAACAAGAGAGTGGTATGGGGTATAATTTTTGAAGCAAAGCAAACGCAATGTGTAAGCTTACCATTTCATTTAGTGACAGGTGCTTTGAATGCATTTAAAAAAGCATGTTCAACGCCACATTTTGAAGCAAGTATAAACAAGCCCTAAATGAAAAACTAACAGGTTCTTGAGATTTTTTCACGGGCCTAATTCACAGGAGTTAGCCTGAATTTTTTAATCCTTGGGAACCTATATCTCGATTTTCTATTTATGAGTGCTTAGTTGATACTGTTTTTCTATCAGCAGGTCTGTAGGCCCCTAGAGTGATGGCACAGGAACCGGAGCCCACCCAGCATTTCTCCAACTCACCATGCATTTCCTTCCCAGCAACTGGAACACTTTAAGGTTCTCCTTCTCCAAAAGCAGGACAGAGGAGACATTTTCTTGGGTGCGGCCCGCAGTCTTGGTCGCTCCTCTGCTCATGGCTGGGCTATGTCTCTTATTGTGAGTGTAAAGTCACAGAAAAAGGGAACTTCCGTACAAAGTAGATTAAGGCAGAACGGAAGCTAAAAACCACCAGCAATAAAAAGGGCTAAGTGCAGAGGGAGGGGAAGTTGCATAAATTCAGCAATGAACCACTTACATGTCCATGTATAGGTCATGTGAGATACTGTCATATCTTAAATATGCCACGGCTGCCAAACTGGGTTTATTTATTAACATGGTGAAGCTCCTTGACTGATATCAGCTAATCGAAGCTTACATTTCAGCTGCTAATCTGTCTTTTTTTGGTTTATTGTCATTAGAAAAGAACTCAAATTCAAATCCTGGAAGTTTATTCTTATATTATCCTCCTGCAAATCAGAAAAAAAAGAGTGACAGCGGGGGTCCTGTACTGTATATTTTAGGTACTGTAGTATGGAGGAGGAAGTGTGTTGCCTACTAATAGGCAGGCAACTAATGAGCAGGGTGCAAGTGAACCTGGAATCTTCAGACTCTGAATAATGGTGCCATCTTCTGACTATATAGTGTGAGAAATGGTTGCTGGGGGCTTTGATAGTGGGAAGAAGGTCAGGGTAGGGATTGTAAGGTAGTGATAAGAATGGGCCAACAGAATTCTGAATATTTTTGCAAAACAATTCACATATGGTATGTATTTATATTGTGTATTTTTCACTTTGGCGACCTATGCTAAGGCTCAGGGGCAGACTGACAACTCATGGCACCCCCAGGCAATAGGGGATCATGGGGCCCCTGTGTCCTTGCCCAAACTCAAAAAAGCCTATGAAAAAGGTACCAGGGGCATCTCATGGGGCCCCCTACTGACCCTGGGCCCTCAGGCAGTGCCCAAGTTTCCAAATGGTCAGTCCACCCCTGCTAAGGCTACTTTCACAGTGATCCGCTGAAAAACACAGCAAAAACGCATAGGCGTCTTACATAGTTACATAGTCTGGCTGAAAAAAGACAAAAATCCATTCAGTTCAACCATTAAAAAAGAAAAAAAAAGTTATAATCCTATACCCACAGTTGATCCAGAGGAAGGCAAAAAAACCAGCAAAACATGATCCAATTTACTCCGCAGGGAAAAAAAAAAAATTCCTTCCTGATCCCCCGAGAGGCAATCGGATATTCCCTGGATCAACTTTACCTATAAATGTTAGTATCCAGTTATATTCTGTGTATCTAAGAAATAATCCAGGCCTTTTTTAAAGCAATCCACTGAACTAGCCAGAACCAACTCTTGAGGGAGTCTATTCCACATTTTCACAGCTCTCACTGTGAAGAAACCTTTCCGTTTTTGGAGATTAAATTTCTTTTCCTCCAGATGTAAAGAGTGCCCCCTTGTCCTCTGTGATGACCTCAGGGTGAATAGCTCTACACTGAGTTCACTATATGAACCACTGATGTATTTATACATGTTGATCATATCCCCCCTTAATCTCCTCTTCTCAAGAGCGAATAAATTCAGTTCCTCTAATCTTTCCTCATAGCTGAGCTCCTCCATGCCTTTTATCAGTTTAGTTGCCCTTCTCTGTACTTTCTCCAGTTCCCCAATGTTCTTTTTGTAAATTGGTGCCCAAAACTGAACTGCATATTCCAGATGAGGTATTACTACTGATTTCTACTGGGGTAATATGATATCTCTCTCTGGAGTCTATACCTCTTATAATACAAGAGCAGCTTGGCATTGCATGCCATTATTAAGCTTGTGATCTACCAGAACTGCACTGATAGGAAGCACTGATGGGCACTGATAGGCAGCACTGATGGGCACTGATAGGCGGCACTGATGAGGTGGCACGGATAGGCAGCACTGATGGGCACTGATAGGCAGCACTGATGCTGCTGCACTGATAAGTGTCACTGATGGGCACTGATAGGCAGCACTGATGGGCACTGATAGGCACTAATGGCACTACTGGATGGCACTGCTGGGCACTGACTGGCAGCACTGCTGGGCATGATGGGTGGCACTGATGGGCAGCACTGATGGGTGGCACTGATGAGGGGCACTGCTGGGCACTGGTGGGTGGCACTGCTGTGCACAGGTGGGTGGCATTACTAGGCACTGATGGGCAAAGGAAGGTGGCACTGCTGGGCACTTGTGGGCGGCACTGCTGGGCACAGATGGGCGGCACTAATGGGCACTGATAGGCGGCACTGATGAGGTGGCACGGATAGGCAGCACTGATAGGCAGCACAGATAGGTGGCACTGATGAGCTGGCACTGATGATGCGGCACTGATGATGCTGCACTGATATGCAACAATGATGGGCACTGATAGGCGGCACTGCTGGGCACTGACTAGTAGCACTGCTGGGCACTGATGGGTGGCACTGATGGGCATCACTGATGGGTGGCACTGATGAGGGGCACTGCTGGACACTGGTGGGTGGCACAGGTGGGTGGCATTACTAGGCACTGATGGGCACAGGTAGATGGCACTGCTAGGCACAAGTGGGTGGCACTGATGGGCACTTGTGGGCGTCACTGCTGAGCACAGATGGACGGCACTGGTTGGTGGCACTGCTGGGCACTGATCATCAGGGTACTGATCATCAGTGCCCTGAGGATCGGTGCCGATCCATCCTCTGACAATTGCTGGTTATCGGCAGCAGTGTGTGACAGTGTGAGGAAAGTGCAGCCGATTGCCGGCAACTGCATTTATCATGTGGTAAAAGGCCGCTGGGATTGGCCTTTTACCACATCATGTGATCAGCTGTGTCCGTAGGACACAGCGATCACAGAGATCGCCAGGTGGGGGTGCGCAGGAGAGCTGCCCTCCCAGAACTGGACAACCATGCTGTAGCTGTCATTCAGCTATAGCCTGGTTGTCAAGTGGTTAATTATGAGGCATTTAAACTATGTATTTCTCCCTAAAATGATGATAAAAATGAAAGTGTTACTAAACCCACAAAGGTAAAATCAGTCTTTATATACAGTAAAGCATGCTTGTTATACTCACTGTGGAGCCTAAGGGGTTAATCCTCTGCATTGTGTAAAAAAGCTGTTTGATCCTGTCTTCTCTGGTCCTCCCCTTCTCCTCCTGTCCCCAATCTGTCTGCTGATAGTACAGAGCTCTAGGAATTACTCTGCACATGTTCAGTTTGGTGTGTATTGCTAGAGAGAGGTTTTTTTTTTTTGCTTGGGAGAGTTCATGTGATCAGGACAGGGCCAATCAGCAGTGTCCAGAAAGAGGTCAGAAGTCCTGCATCCTCCTACAGGAAAATGAAAACTCCACCTACAAGCTTTAACTAGTGCTCTGCTGGACACTGATAGAAGCCACAAGACTGCTCTAACTGCTAATGAGAAAAGGTATTTAGCAGTTTATATTTACTAAAATTGCATGTTGTGTGTACTGTGGGAGACCAGATATAGTGAATGCGGGTCCAGGTTTTAGTAACACTTTAACCCTAATACAAACTTCTTGACACCTTGGTTTCTTGCACAACTACAAACAGCTGTCTTGTCAGTTTTTAGGTGCAAAGATTTTGTACAGCCTGGGTTTAGTAACGCTTTAAGCATGTGGGGAAAGGGTATTTGCACCTAGATAAATCATGAACTTAGTTTTCCATCTTTTTTATGATGAATTGATTGAAACATTCACAGTTGTTTCTAACCCTAGGTTCACCCCTAAGCATTTCCAGTGTTTTGCATTTTTCAGAAACGCAGTACAGTCCATTTAGCATGATTTCCTATGGGACAGGTTCACATCTCCACGTTTTCACCCGGTGCGTTTTTTTGGAAAGTGTCAGGGACTTTTTTGAACGCAAAAAGTTGCATTTTTGGTTCTATAGACTGCAATGGAAATGCTGCAGAAAAGCATGCTGTGCATTTTTGCTGCATTTTTTTATGTATTTTGATGCATTTTAAATCTGCCTAAATAAATTAAAAAAAACAACAAAAAACGTACCAAAAATGCTGCAAAAACGCAGGTGCAAAACGCAATGCAGAAATTGGTCAAATGCAAACTGCATAGGTGTGAACCTAGTCTTTAAGGCTTTTATCTGATGGATTTATATTATTCTATTCTATTCTTTTATTTTCTAATCTATTCTATTCTATTGTTTTACTCTATTTTATTTCTATTCTATTTTTTCCATTCCTTTTCCTTTTTTAATTTTATTCTATTTAATTTTTTCATTTTCTAGTCTATTCAAAAGATATAAAAATATTCTATTCTATTTTGTTCTATTCTATTCTTTTTGAAATTCAAATTCGGAAAACAACTATATTCTTTCTATTTTGTTCTATTCTATTCTACTCAGTTTTTTCTATTCTATTCAAAATTCAAATTTCGTAGGATGGCTATATTATTATTTTATTCTATTTTATTCCACTGTATTCAAAATTTAATTTCCAAAGACAGATATATTGTTTCTAATTCATTCTTTTCTACTCTATTCTATTTTTTAAACAAATTCTATTCTTTTATTTTATTTCTATTTTTTTCAATTCTATTCCTTTATTTTCTATTTTGTTCTATTCTATTCTTTTTGAAATTCAAATTTTGGAAAACGACTATATTCTTCTATTTTGTTTAATTCTAGTCTACTCAGTTTTTTCTATTTTATTCTATTCTATTCAAAATTCAAATTTCGTAAGATGGCTATATTATTAGTTTATTCTATTCTATTCCATTGTATTCAAAATTTAATTTCCAAAGACAGCTTTATTGTTTCTATTTCATTCTTTTCTACTCTATTCTATTTTTTTTTTTAATTCTATTGTTTTTTTTTTTCAATTCTATTTTTTTCAATTCTATTCCTTTAATTTCTATTTTGTTCTATTCTATTATTTTTGAAATTCAAATTTCAGAAAACGACTATATTCTTTCTATTGTGTTCTGTTCTATTCTACTCAATATTTTCTATTCTATTCAAAATTAAATTTTGGAAGATGGCTATATTGTTATTTTATTCTATTCTATTCCATTGTATTCAAAATTTGAATTTCAAAAGACAGCTATTTTGTTTCTATTTTATTCTTTTCTACTCTATTTTTTTAAAAAAAATTATATTCTTTTATTTTCAATTCTATTCGTTTCTATTCTATTCCTTTATTTTCTATTTTATTCTATTCTATTATTTTCCAAATTCAAATTTCAGAAGGTGGCTATATTCTAATACACATACTCTTTGAAGGAAATCAACAAAAGTCAGCAATATGTTTACATTTCGAATTTGTTTTCAAATTCAATTTAGTTTCCGAATGAAATCAGCTGAAATATTGTTTTGTTATTTCGGATTCCTTTAAATTTGTTACTATTGTAATATGGATACATTTGAATCTCACAAAAACGAAAAATTTGGGTGAATCTCAATTTGGAACGAAACAAAGTGCACATGTCTAATCCCATGCAGTGGTGGAAAAAGTCACCATTGTCCAATGTGCAAGCAGGGCCGTGGATAAGGGGGTACCTCCGGTCCTCCTGTACGGGGCCCAGACCAGCAGGGGGGCCCAGGCAGCTGGGTAAATCGGATGTGGGTAGGGAGGGTGATCAGCACGGTGGGAATGCAATTACAGGAACTGATCCCTTGTACGGCTCTCTGTGCAGCAGCTGAAAGCTGGCTTCTTCTCTCCTTCCTGCTAGCATTCAGCTGCTGCAGAGAGAGAGACATACAGGGGATTGATTCCAGTGTTTGCCCCCTGCAGCACCCATTACCTTCCTGTGGACCATACATTGTTGCCCAGGCCCCTCTGTGTGACCACCCCCGCAGTGCTCCTTGGTTCCCTCCTCTCCTTCCCACCGGTAACTGTAAGCACACAATAGGATCCTTCAGGTTAGTGAACACAGAAAGTGATCAGTACCTCTTACTCACTGTGTTCATTCATAACTGAAGCATAGTAATCTGTGTTTTTTTTTTGGGGGGGGGG